CCCCCCCCGCCCGCCAACCCGCCCTGGCCAGATGTGGCGATCGCGGTCCATCGCGGGGCGCGACTGGGCGGCGGCGACGGCGGCGATGCAGCGAGGGAGCAAGGGACAGATCATTTTCACCGGGGGGCGGGCTTCATCACGGAGCGGGGCAGAGCGGCCCCACTTTCTCTCTCCTTCTCTCTTTCTCTCTCGCCCTTCCGGAGATCTGCTCCTCACACACCACCCTTCCCCTCCCCTCCCCTCTTCTGAGAAGCCCCTGCCCCCCCCCCCCATCTATTTGCGGAACTTTTGCGTGCGCGTGCGCAAGCAGACACGCGCACCCGCATTGACATCCAGGCGAGGCGCATTACCATCGCACCACGATGGGCAGCCCAGCCCGCCGGTCGGCTCGCCTGCAATCCGGCCGGGCGGCCCGCTCCTGGGGCTTGCCCACGCCGGCCACCGCGGAGATCTCCCCCTCGGCTGGGGAGAGCTCCCTCCATCCGGACACCGGTCTGCTGGATCTGAGTGGCGACTCGTTGGACATCGGCTACGACTCGCTGGATGTGAGCCGCGACTCACTCGATATGAGCCACGACTCGCTGGATCTGGGCCGCGACTCGCTGGACGTGAGCCATGATTTTTTGGACCTGAGCGGCGACTCGGTGGACTTGAGTGGCGCTTCGCCCGGCCTCGGCGGCAGCCCGGCCGGCCTGGATGGCCTGGATGGCGCGTCCGCCGGCGCACACGACGACAGCGAGCACCCCCCGGAGGACTCGGACGCCTTGGACATCGGGGAAGACCGGGGCGACGCCCATTGGCTCGATGCCACACGCTCTCCCCTGTCGTGCGCAGCGCCTGGCACCTTTGTCGGGTGCTACCTCCTGCGCAGCACCCGGGCCAATTACGCCGGGCGCACGTACGTCGGCTTCACGGTCAACCCTCCGCGGCGCCTGCGCCAGCACAATGGCCAGCTGGGCGGTGGCGCGTGGCAAACCGACCGTGGCAGGCCCTGGTGCGTCCCCCTCCGCCGGCGTCCCTCCTCATGGCACCGGCGGCCC